GAAATGCTGAGAATAGAATTCATAATGAACAGGACAGGGATAGTGGAGATTAAGTGAGAGAAGGTTCAGTGAGAAGGGAACAGAGTGAGGTGTTCTCAACAAGGGAACTGCCATCTGTGTGAACATTCCATCGCAACAGCGAAGAGTGAGCTGAAGAGCTGAGAAGGTAGAACTATCCTGCAGCTACCCTGTGAAAACACAGGGAGAAGCAGTTTTKTTTAAAAAAATTTTTAGTTCTAGATGGACAWAATATCTTTGTTTTGTTTATTTTATGTAATGCTGATGATAGAACTCAGTGCCTCACCTATACGAGGTAAGCTCTCTACCACTGAGCTACAACCGCAGCTCCAGGGAGAAGCATTTTTACTTAAAAATATCAAGGTTAAATACCATGGAAAGTTCTTATCAGAAAAAAGAGAGTATGGAATAAAATAAGCCCCTTCATTAAGTATAGAAAAATATAAAACTGATGGAAATTACAATACAGTATTCCAAAACAAGCTAAGTATATAGTGTGCAAGAACAGTCTAATCAGAACTAGAAAAATTCAGAAATTTGATTGTTTGTTTGTTTGCTTTTTTTTCTTTTTTTAGTACATTCTGAGATCTTTTTTTAAAAAATTTTATTTATTTATTTTTTAAATTTTGACACAAGGTCTCACTAAGTTGGTGAGATTGGTTCTAACTTGCAGTCTTCCTCCTTCAGCCCCAGAAATTGCTGGGAGGATTATAGGCAGTCACTGTCATGCCTGGCTGGAAGTTAAGAATTTTATTTTTTAAATTGAAAAATATTGTTTAGAAGTTAAGAATTTTAGATTSCAAAATAATTTCAGAATTGAAGACAAACTTGAAGGACACAGTGTTTATAAATGCTTTAGAAATAGAATATGAAAAGAGGGATTTTTGTTTTTAATCATAAAGAAATGAAGGTTACTTTCCCGTTTTTACAGTAAGTACAGTTAAAAATCCTGGACACTAAGACATGATAAACAAACATGGGACAAAAGAAATAAGAGGAAATCAAAAGACACGCTAAAATGAAGGACAACGTAATTTGTTTCCAGTAGACTTTTCCCATAACAGTGATAAAGGAAGGTCTCTAAACAGAAATGAAATGAAAAAAGGAGTCTCAAAACCTCAGGAACAGAACAGAATGAAAAGAGCAAATATGCTGGAAAATGTAATCAATTTTTTTCCTTCTCTTGAGTCTTTTTAATTAAATTTAATGACTAATAAAAGTATTATAGTGAAATAACCTTTTGCAACTTAGAAGAATAACTCACCAAAAATTTGTGAAAGGATATGTGGAAAAATACACTGAACTATTGCTGCTATTTTTTCTCTTGTTGTTAACAGGAAATTTATTCCACCTAGTTGAGCAACTGTCAGTCTCTGAGATTTTTTCCTCTGTGTAAAATGAGGAGTGGTAGGTTGAGGAGTGGGGTTCTTTTTTTTTTAATATTTTTTTTTGTAGTTGTAGATGATCACAATATCTTTATTTTTATTTTGTTTGTTTTTATGTGGTGCTGGGGACTGAACCCAGGGCCTCACGCATGCAAGGCAAGTTCTCTACCACTGAGCCACAACCCCAGCAGGAGCGGTATTCTTTTCTGAGTTACTTTTAGCATCTTATACCAAAAAGATGATCTCCTTACCCCCAAATCTGAAAATTAGATGGAACTTGCATCACACCTRTTTAATATTCTCCCCTTAACACTATTTGAAAGCATATTTCCTGTTTTCTTTAAATGTTTTTCTTGGTTTAAAAAAATGCATACATTTTTATAGAAAACAAGCTCTTTCTTTCTTTTTTTTAAAAATATCTTTATTTATTTATTTTTATGTGGTGCTGAGGATCGAACCCAGGGCCTCCCATGTGCTAGGCAAGCGCTCTACCGCTGAGCCACAATCCCAGCTCCCCAAAAAATGTTCTTTCTGAAAGACCATCACTTTCCCTACTAATCATGCTAAAACTCCAAAATGAATATTCTGAATTACCTTGGATGTTTTCTTGCTCTTATTCCTGATATTAATGATATCTCTTGTCTCCTAGCTGCTTAGTCAAACTAAAATCCTGAAGTTTTCCATTAATTTCTTTCTCCCCTTTGAGTACTAGGTCAAGACCAACAGGTACACTTTCAAAGTGTCTCTCAGTAAAACTGGTCCAATCTCTGTTTCCATGGTTGCTGTGTTAACTCAAACCCTTTAATTTCTGATTAGAGCCCTGCTATTTTCAGTTGAGGTTATTGTCCCACCAGATTCTTTTCTTTCTCCATACCATAGACGCAAAATACTTTCTTTGCCTAGAACACATTTCCTAAATATGAATATAAAATCTCCTCTTATTTTAGTTGGTTTTGGTTTTATTTTTATTTTTTAACACAGATTTAAAGCAATTTCATGTGTATTTCTTCAGTRGAGTTGTCTGCACTGGGAATAGTGCAAATATCACTTAGAGATCTTTCAGGAGATTGATCATACAGAGTTCCCCCTTTCCCGCTCGGGGAAATACAGTGATCAGTCTCTGCTCCCTTTGCCAGACAACCCAGAGAAAGCTCCATAGTTATTCTGGGGTAATCCTGTCTCTGCAGCCCACTCTTCTTCAAGCACATCTTTAGTGTGGGGACCTCCTAAATTGTGTCTTTATCAGTAACTGCAGCCCCTCCACATGATTGCAATTCTAAGTATTCTACATTCCAGCCACTCTCTTCTGTGATAGACACTGTTGGTGCCCACGTTCCAATACCCTTACCTGACTGGTGCACCCAGTCACCAGCTGCGATGAAAGTTTGTTGTCAGCTCACAGCTGCCTCCTTCTCTGAAGAATGGACCTAGCAGATTGGAGCCGTCTTACCCAGAAATAACCTGGAAGGCTATGCCCTGTAGCTGGTACAGACCCTAGTAGAGTGACTGATCATTCCAGGTCACCTGGGACTCTCCGAGGTATAGCATTGAAAAACCTTGCATCCCAGGAAACTCCTCAGTCCTGAGCAAACTGGGGTTGTAGTCAACATAGTCCCAGCCAATGACTGATTGACATGGATGTTCAAGAGCCAGAACCTGCTTTTACTTGGAAAGACTGTGGTGTCATTCCTGCTCCAGTGGTTCCCTTGAGATGATGCTAAAACCAGATCTCAGCTGAGAGCATATCTGCCTCGCTTTTCTTTCCACTGTATCTTGATTATCTCACTCTTGACTTGTTTATCCAGAGAGCATTCCCTTGATGAGTCACTTGCCCAAGAATCCCATTTCTCTGCTTGCAGGGAACGGGACCTGAGATACTTTCTAATCTTTCCAGATTTTTCTTTGAGTACCCTGCCTCCAACCATCTTTGACCCTCAGAAGGGTCCGTAATCCATTGACTCTCTCTCTCCCTCTTCTAGTCTTCTGTTCTACTGTCATACCTCCTTTTCACATTTCAAATCTCCACAGTTTTTTTCTCCTATTTTCCGAGCTAATGGCTTGGCTTCGTTTCTGATTTGAAAAATAGAGATCTTCAGAAAAGGATTTGCCCAAACTCCCACCACCACATTTTCC